TTTTTTTTTTTTTTCTTGAGGGAGTAAAGCCTTTTTAAAAAAAAAAAAAAAAAGGAAGAAGATACTCTGGATCTCATCTGAAAAAAAAAAAAACAAACAAAACAAACCAAAACACCCACAATCCCACAAGCACAAGCTTTTCTGAACCTGCAGGGAAATGGTTTCACATTTTTCTGCTGGTCAGCTCTTTAAAAAAAAAAAGGAGAAAAAAAAAAGCTTATTCTGTGTGTGTGTATATATATAAATATCCTAATTTTTGTATCAAAAGCTAAGAAGTTTCCCCCTTCAGGGTCAGGCCATCACGTGCTGCTGGTTTGGAAACCATAATGACCGTAACAGCCACCGTTGGGATTTCAACCCAGAAAAACTCAAACCCCAGAAAGACAAAAGGACTTTTGCTCCCTGAAAGAAACGTCCGTTTGGTGCCGGATTTTAGAGCTGCCGCAGGGATGGGTGTTGGAGCTGTAGGTGAGCGAGGGGGGCTGGTGCCTGGGCCCTGGGGGCTCTGGCTGGAGAAGGAAGCAGCTCCACGTGGTCCGAGCTGCATGTTCTCCCCCCTCGTGTCTCTTCCCAGTTGCCGCCCAGACCCTTCCATCTTCTTGGTCTGTAACAGCAGTGAGAGAGAAGTCCAGGTTGCCCAAAGCCCCGTCCAACCTGACCTTGAACCCTTCCAGTGATGGGGCAGCCACAACTTCTCTGGGCAACCTGTGCCAGCGTCTCACCAGCATCTTCGTAAGGAATTTTTTCCTTGTAGCCAATCTCAGCCTACTCTTGTGCAGTTTAAAACCTCAGGACAGTCTCCACACGGTCACTGCTAAAGCACTCACAGGTTCTTAAAGCTGAGGGAGACCCTTCTGCAGCCTGAGGGATGCTACTGCCACTCCCCAGACAAGTTTAGAGGTTTTTTTCCTTTTATTTTTTTTCCAGTGGAGGCTCCGTCATGGAGATGAGTTTGAGTATTGGAGAAAGAGGCAAAAAATAACTGCTGATTTTTATCATTCCCCTCCCAGAAGAAAAAATAAGCAAACCTTAATGGTGGTGATGGGCCAGGGCACAAGAAGAGTCCAAAGGGTCAAGAAAAGTCCTGAGTCCCCAGTGGTGCAGCACTTCTATATTAAAAAATAGGTTAATGTGGTTGATTTTAACAGGGTTTTTTGTTACAAAGAGGTGTCTGATGAATCTGCCTTGTTCCTCCTGCAGTTGGGGGGAACTGCACCCCCCTGGTTAACTGGGGGGGCTCCATCCACCCTCTGCAGGCACTGGGAGAACTGGGGTTTGGAACAGAGGTTTCACCCCACGGATTTGGGTGGATACGGGGTGGGGGGCAGGACACACACACACACACACATCCCTGACCAGCCAGGGGAAGACCTGGGTTTAAAATTAAAAAAACATTGGAAAACTCACCTCACGAGTTGGGGTATCTGAGTTTTCCAGCACTTTTCCATCCTGGTGGGATTTCCTGGAGTTGGGGGGTGGCTCGGTGGGGGCACACAGGCAAAGGGACACCCCCAGCAAGCCAAAACACCCCCTAAAAATGACCTGACTGCTGCCACCATCCCCGCTCCATCACCTGGCACCCCCTCATGAACCCCAACATCAGCTATTGACAAACTGAACTGGGAGGGAGGGCTTTTAACCAACGCTATAAATCACACTCAGAAATAATTGTGCTGATCCTAAAGGAAACAGGGACCCTCCTGGGATGGGGGGGCCACGCTTACCCACAGCAGATGAGGCCACAGACCACCCAGGCACCTCCATCCCTGCACCCTCCATGGCTTCACCCCGGTGATATTCATGAGGGTTGATTTTTTTTTTTTTTTCTCTTTTTTTGCTTCCCGGGATGGCTGCAAAACCAGAGGGATTTTGGGGTCTGGGGAGCTCCCCCCCCAGCTTTTCATCTGCCGTGGCCTCATCCAGCTGCCGTGTCTGACTGTGAATGGCAGAGACACAAGCAGCTGCTGGAGAGAATCCGGGGCTGGATCCTGCCTAAATCCCTTTTCTGGGCTCCGTCACATCTCCAGGGCCGGGGGCTTTGGGCTGCGTGACTGTTGCCAGCGTCCACCCCCCCCAGTTGGAGGTGAAGAAGCTAAAAATGGGGAGAAACCTGGTGAAATTGTGGCTGGGGAAACTGAGGCACGGGGAGGGGGTTACTTCAAGAGCCCCCCCCTCCAGCACTGGGTGATGAGCGAACGAGGCACCCAAAAAAAGGGGGTGTCAGGGTGTTGCCACGCGGTGCCGAGGGGATTT